CAAACCTGGTCTTCAGCCTCAGCTCAGCCTCCTAGGGAAAAGGGCCTAGGACCCTCATTTAAGGAGGGAAAGCCCCACTTCCTAGGCCATGTGGTGGTAGGGGGAAACAAAAGAAATCCCAGGAAAAACAAACTCCTCATCAAAATGTCCATGCAAATATACCTGGCCTTCATCCTCAGCCCAGCTTCCTAGGGAAAAGGCCCCAGGTCCTGGCACACGCTCATTTAAAGCAGAAAGCCCCACCCCTAGGCCCCACCCTCCAGGCCATGCAGTGGGGGGAGACCCAAAGAAAGCCCAGGGGAAAAAATCCTCAGCAAAATATCCATGCAAACATACCTGGCCTTCAGCCTCAGCCCAACTTCCTACAGAAAAGGGCCCAGAGTCCTGGGACACGCTCATTTAAAGCAGAAATCCCCACCCCCCAGGCCATGCAGTGGGGGAGACCCAAAGAAAGCCCCCCCAAAAAAACTCAGCAGAATGTCCATTCAAACATACCTGGCTTTCAGCCTCAGCCCAGCTTCCTAGGGAAAAGTGCCCAGGGTCCTGGGACACGCTCATTTAAATCAGAAAGCCCCACTGCCTAGGCCCCACCCCCCAGGCCATGCGGTGGGGGCGACCCAAAGAAAGCCCAGAAAAAAAAACTCCTCAGCAGAGTTTTACCCTTACAGCAAACCCTTTGGGTCAGTTCAGCATCTCATGGGCAGAACAGGTGGCTCTTGTGTAACCAGGGAGTTTTGTTGACCATTTCTGCAAAGGTTTGAATTTGGGTCTTCAAAGTCTTTGGCCGCCTCTTTAAACTTATCTAGAGTAGATGCTCAGTTGGTGATGTGAACAAATGCAAGTCGGACTGGAATTAGACATCAGGCCTCTTGACATGACTTTGGTGTGGAAGGTGGCTTTGGAAAACATGCCTGCCCTGTTATATGTGCTGTTTCCTGTGTGTTAGCACACCATTGACACTTACCGTCTGAAATGGTGGTTCAGTTCTTTGCCCTAGTACAAGGTAACTGAGTGTGCTTGACAGCTAGTGTACCCATGATGATGCCTAACACGGATGAACAAAAATATTGGTTGAAGTCCCTGTTGCTTAGCATAGCAAGTTATGTTAGAGTAGACCCACTGTAGTAGTGGGGAATTCATGAGTTACTGTAATTCCTCTGTATGCTCCATTGTCTCAGATTGGCCTTTTCTAATTGCAGTGTATTATGCTAAACTGGGAATTGTCCCTAGTGGAGAATAAAGGCTCCAACAGCCTCATGGAGGCTGCAGTTTAACCACTGGCACAGTGGTTAAACTGCAGTACTGCAGTCAAAACTCTGCTCATGACCTGAGTTTGATCTCAATAGGCTCAGACAAGTGGCTCAGGATTGGCTCAGCCTTCCATCCCTCCATGGTTGGTAAACTGATTACCCAGCTCGTTGGTGGGACAATATGAAGCCTGCATAATTAAAATTCTAAAACCAAAACCAAAATCACTTTACTTGAGATGGAAGATTTTTCAGAGGTAGCACTGATCCTCTTCCCATCTGTGTTGACTGTGAGGAGTATAAAGGGAGGCAAATGCTGGTTGTGATGAGAGCTTGATGGTTGTAATAGCTGTTACTTAAGGAGGTCATCAGTTTTTCAGCTTAGAGTAGACAAAGAATGTTGATACCTTGTGTGCAAAGAAGCATTTGAAAATTGCTTCAGGAAAGGTAATAAAAGCTCTGAAACTCATATGTTAGTTTTGCAGAGACAGAGCAAGGTCTCATTTTAAGTTGCTTTCCAAAAGCAGCACTTCTGTTCTCTCTCCCTGTTCCCCAGCTCCAGTTCTACAGGAACATCTGTTTCTCCTTAGCTTATCTCTTACACTTCTGTTATTAGTGACAGTTTTGCTGTTGTAGTTGTAGTTGCTTAATTTTAGATTCTGACAGGCTGTTGGATACACAGATTTTGCCAGCTGCTAGCAGTCAAGTGTGTCGGGCAGCCACAGAGAATGGGGAGCAAGTGTGTTGTGTGCTCCTCTCCCAGGAACTGGTTCCATGCCTTGCGTGCCCACCCAATGGCAGGCATCCATTGTGCATGTCTTTGAATGGGTAGGCAGTGCATAGAAAGATAGAAGGGACTCTAACAGGGAAGCTGAGAAGCCCTGACACATGAAGAGAAAGAGATTTGCAATCTTGTTGATTTTAGCTGGCTGTGCAAAAGGATTTCTGTGTGAGTGAGCTTTGAAGGGTGCATCTAAGGCACATGAATCTGGTCACAAAGTCTGACATACACTTGCTTCCTTGGAACAGGTACCAATCACTCCAAGGCCAGAAGTGATGAGGCTGACTTCTGCATCATATATGGTTTGAGAGTTTACACACAGCAAATCAAGTGTGACTATAAAACCCCACACACATATCATGAATCCATTACCCCTTGATATAAATAGCTGATCTTGAAAGAATATTCATTTAGTCATGGAAAAACTTGAAGAACATTTACTGTATAACATGCTGAAATATTAACAGTACATGTACATTTTTCCTGGTATGGATTTGTGCTTGACAGACAGGAGAGTTTCGTAATGTTTCATCTTGCAACATACAGTACTAATGGTAGACAGCATCTTTGAAAAATTCCTTAACTGAAAAGCCTCAGCCTAAGAGACAAAGCAGAGCAAATATAATCATCCTCATTCTTAACTGCCATGTCATGTTCTATCTGGCAGTTAACCCCTTCAGATAACCTTTGGCTAGCATTAGACATCTGGTTCCAGTGCAGTTCAGTAGCGCGCACACAGTCAGGCAGCTAGCTCTCTTTTATTTTTCTTCTTATTAGAAAGTTACACTTTGAATCTAGGCATTATTTATTACATATTACAAAGTGCATTACGTATTACAAAGTGCATCAGCCTCAGTTGGCAGTGAGCCCTTCCACCGTTCCCTACTCTTGGTGGTAGGGAGTCAGGGTCTCATTTTGCTTTCATTTGAATTAAGCTTGTATCTCCACATGTTAGACAGAGCAGCCTCTACCTTTCTCAGTGGTCTTCACTCTGTATTTATTTCTACACACTTATTTTT